TTAGTCCAATGAAATTTCTCATCGCGCATCTCCTACCTTTATACTCCTATGCCATATCTACTAAACTTTTCAACTTTCCTAGCACGGAATCAACCACAAGAAATTTAGACAATTAGTTTTCCCTCTTTCTATTGCTTATTTTTTAAATTAATCATCACCTTAATTTCTATTAAATCCATTGATATTCCTTCTTTTCTTCACTATTCAACCATTTATCTCCATCAACTATTTATGATTATACATTTAATTTCCACCAGTCTTCTTGTAACTAATAAACCAGAAAATTTTTTCCTCCACTAACTACCACAATATATCCTATTCCAACCAGATCATTAATTATAGAGTATCCTTATGTTACATAACAAAATAATAATTCTTATATAATAATACAACTTACTAAGTTCGCTTACTTGCTACAACACCAAATAACAGTTTTATTTTTATTTTTAAAAATTTTTTTAGCTCCCTCTAGTTCTATGAGGTTTGCTTATACTCAAATTGCTTATTAAACTCTTTTACATCCCGGTTCCAAACATATATTCTATCCCAAGTGCAAGAAATTACTCCATTTAATATTTTAGCCCCATTTCAGCTTCTCCAATTCATTAACTCTAAATTCCCAATTAAATATAAGACTGCACGCTACTACATTACCCATAGTCAATCATTCCTTTCTTTCTTACATTACCATAATCTATTACAGCAAAAGAATACTCTATAAACAAGTAAACCCCTTGTCTCCTATTTCTCCTCCCTTTCTCTAATGCTTCTTCTTCCCTTTCCACTTCCTTTAAATGCCTGAAATTTTTGAATTCATGTAGCCTTAAATCCAGGCTTTGCCAGCTCCCTTCCCATAGATATTTCTTCATTCTTTTATTACACTTGGATTTCCTTCTAAGTCTTTTAAGTTCCTTCTTTCCCTTCCCTGGCATTTTGAAATATGTCCCTTTTTCTGTTGTTCCTTCTCAACTTCTTTTAAGTGCCTAAAATTTTTGAATTCATATATGATCTGACATGTTCCCTTCCATGAATAATTCTTTGTTGTTTTATAACGTTTAAAGTTCTTTCCACCTCTTCTTGGTCTTCTTAACTTGGTCTTTTAAGATATGTCTTTTTTTCTGTTGTGTTTTGGATCTTAAGCTTCTCCCTTTCTTTGACTGACTTCTCAAGTAAGGTTCTTGTTCCTGCAGTACCTCTTCTGTGTGCAAGGATTGGTTAATTGATGGCTCCCTCTCCCGGTCAGTTTCATGTTGATTTAACACATACGAGGATCGTTCCATTTCCTCATTGTTTTCCGTCTCCTCCTGTAATACCTGTTGTCCTTCAAATACATTTTTATAAGCTGTTGCCACTGCTTGCTTAATTGACTCTTCCAAAAACGTTTTAAACTGTTCCACAGTGAAGCCTTCTAGTTGCAAAATTATATCTAGTTCTTTCTCATCCTCCACTTTCACTGCCGCCATTTTCTCACTCCACTTTGAACGAGCTTACAAATAGTCCTATTCAACATCATTCATTTCAATTCCACAATCCTTTTAATATAGCCAACCACAGGTTTCTTTTCACAATTATCCATAATTCTTAGATTAGCCTTTAAAGTCCAGTAAACATTTGTTCTTACCCCATTTCTTCGTTACTTCAATCACTCCTCTCACTTTCCATAGCCACCTTCACCTAATAGTTGAGGATAACTAAAGGATGTATTTAGCTCAAAGTCTCCACTTCTTACCGAGAAATGTGCGAAAAAATGTCTTTTATGTGAGGTACCATTTACTTAACATTGCTTTAAAAACGGCTGGTCGCTGCTTGGTGTTCTTCCCGATCTTCGTCCTTGCTTCGGGGCAAACCAGCTACACCCCCTGCGATTTGCCATCAATGGGGGGTGTCAAAGCCCCCTGCGACTTCCCCTCTCTCCAGGAGGTGAAGCAGAGCTCATCTGCTCGAACGGGGACCTCCAATAGAACGAAGGAGAGCCGGGCGGGTCAGAGACGATCCGATACCCGCCTGTTCGCAGCGCCGTCAAACCGGAAGTCCCAGCCTACAGGAATGTTAATGTGTGTGTTTTGTTTTTGTGTTCAGTGTGATCCTTACTGTGCTGTCTGAGTCATGGCAGTATGAGGCATGATTAAATAAGCATTTAGTCAGTGTTCTCTGTGTATGCAGTGGCTTTTTGGCTCTTCTTCCTAGCAGCCCTCCAGGGCCTTTTTCCCCCTTAGTGGCATACTTTGAGGCATGAGGTGCTACTTTCTAAAGCAGAGGTGTCAAAACTCATTTGTTACAAGGGCCATATCTGACATAAATGTCACTTTGTTGGGTGGGCCATGTGTGCTATAAAATGTAATTTCAGGTACTAGAGAAATAAACTTTATGAAGGACACAGGCAAATCCAATTAACGATATTATATTATACTTAAAATACAAATAAAAGCAATTGATTCCTAGCAGTGAAAGCAATTGATTTGCTGGGGAACCCACAAAAGCCCCAATAAATGTATTTAATTATATGCAAGACTAGGTTTTTCCCAAGGGATACCATAAAAGAAGGGGGTATTTTACATTTCCGTACAAATTAGTTACTTTTTGTATATATAGGACTTTAGGAGACATCTTCCTTGCAAGTAAAATCATACCCCCCCACTCCCATCCTTAGCATCCGAGCATGGCTACAACCTTCTCTCTCTTTGTTTCCTTTCTTACCCGATCTTATCTCTGAGTATCTTGGGGAGGAACATTGGACTCCATGCTCCACCACCCCATTCCCACCACGACCACTAACCTTGTGAGGTGGGCCAGGCTGAGCGACTGACCCTGGGTGACCCAGATGACAGAGTCCTGGCTGAGGAGGAAGGGGGTTCTGAACCTGGCTCTCCCAGATCCCCCCACCCCCAGTTCTCATCCCTCCTTATTTCCCACAGAAGCGGGGCTGTTTCCGAAAACTCCGGGGGCACTTTTTGTCCTCCTGCAACCCCTTTTCCCTCACGGGCTGAGAACAGATGGGGGGAGAAGCAGTCGCCATCCCCCACATGCCCCCAACACTCATTCTGTCTCCTGGCTCCACGGCTGTTCAAATGTGTGGTGGCGACAGTGGCGCCTTTTCCCCCTTTACTCTTTCACTTGCTTCCAAGGCTGGGATGTCTTTCTACTCAGACACAAGACAGCCTGTTGTCTCCCAGTCCACACGCTGGCCCTCTTCCTGTCTCCCCTGCTGGCCCATCTGTTTGCTGGCAAACAGCTGCTCTGTACCCCCACTCTTGACAACCCCCCTGCTGGTTGCTGTTTGAAAAAAAATGTGAAGCTGGTTGGTGCCGCAGTGGCAATGCCAGTTGCGCAGCTTCGCCCCCCTCCCCATTTAGCAGCTTCACTAGTCCTTGCCGAGCTGTGGTCAGAAGTGGTGGAAGGGACAAAAGAGAAGAAGAAGAAGAGATTGGATTTATACCCCGCTCTTCACTTCCCAAAGGTGTCTCAAAGTAGCTTTTAAACTCCTTTCCTTTCCCCTCCTCACAACAGACACCCTGTGAGGTAGGTGGGGCTGAGAGAGCTCTTGACAGAAACTGCTCTTTTTCAAGGACAGCTCTTATCAGAACTATGGCTTGCCCAAGGTCATCCAGCCAGGTGCAAGTGGAGTGGGGAATCAAACCCGGTTCTCCCAGATTAGAGTCTGCGCACTTAACCACTACACCAAACAGGCTCTCAAAAACACACCTCTTTCTCTGTCTTCACTGCCATTCCCCACACTATTTTACCTCAGCCTCTTAGCCCCACCACCTAGCCATTTTGTTTCTATTTCTTGACACTTCAACCACACACACCTCACTGTGTGTGCCCACTCGCCACCTCCCCCCAGAAGCCTCCTGCCTTCCTTCCCTCTTACCAGTTGCTTGCGGGCTGGATAAGAGCCAAGACAGGCCAGTTCCAGGGCTATATGATTGACACCCCTGCCCTAAAGGAAATGTTGGCTCTCCCCCCCCCCCCCCGGGAAATGTGCTCCCTCTTTTTTTGCAGCAGTATTTGTGTAGAAGTTGGTACACAACTGTTGCAGAGTGGTCACCACTTCTGTGTGGTTATATTCTCTGTTACACTGGCAATATCTGTTGAGAAAATGTGGGGGAAGTGGATAGTGTGTCTACTTTGGATGTTAATGTGTGTGTTTTGTTTTTGTGTTCAGTGTGATCCTTACTGTGCTGTCTGAGTCATGGCAGTATGAGGCATGATTAAAT